TGACTCTTCAACTTGTTCTGATACATCGAATGGGTTGTCATTTGCTTCCATTTTGAAGACCTGATTTCCTTCCCAGAACATTAACTGCTGGTGCAGTGTTGATGGTACACATTGAGAAGCATGAATCCAGTCTCTTCCTAGTAAGAGAGAATATGTAGTATCTGCGTCCACAATAAAGAAAACAGTGGAGATCTTTTTTGGTCCGACTTCAATTGTGGCAACCATCATACCTTCAGGCTTGGTCGGCTGCCCCGTAAAGCTTGTCATTTCGAATTCCACAGGAGACAGATCATGAATTCCTTTCCCTAGCTTCTTGAGAGTCTTCAATGGCATAACATTAAAGACTGCCCCATTATCCACAAAAACCTTTGTGATTGGTTTCCCGCAAATGTGAGCATTAACATACAGAGGTTTCAAATGGGAGATCGCACCCTCTGGAATAGGAGGAAACACTATCGAAGGTGTTTCCGACTGAGGCTCGGAATCTGAAGTCTTTGCCCACTCTGTTTCCTCTAATTCATCATCTGCCAAGAATGCCCATAAAGGTTCGTCCATAGTATCATCTACCAGACTCGCCCACATCGGTTCATCTCTCATCTGATTAATCTCTGTCATTCGACAAGGGATTCGTGGTCCCAGACGAGATTTAACAGATCTTGAACTTTCCTCTGTAGTTACAACTTCTTCCTTTGTCTTATCCCGAGATTGAACCGTCAAAGATTCTATACGGAATTCTTCAGGAGATGGATTGATGTTAATCCGTTCACAATGTTGGCATCTAAAACCTCTAATTATTTCATCTGCCATTCCTTTACCTTTCCCCTGTCCCGACGAACTTCCTTTGGTATAGTCGGAAGCGCCTAATCCGTCGTTCGGTTGCTTTCCTGAACAGACCCGACTGGACCGACTTTTTGGAGATTGCATGGCTGCTCCCTGCTCGTTGGTCGTTTGTTCTGTAAAGACTTTAATGGACTGATCTCCTGCCAAGTGGTCGGCTGCTTTTTGTTCGTCGGTTCGTTGTTTTGCTGAAGGAACTCGTTTCCCATACTTTGCAGCATACCTGCGTTTGGCGTTGCGAATCTGTGTACGATTCATACCTGGGAAACGAGGATCTATATCAACGGGTAAAGGCTTTTTATTTCGAGCCCAATTGTTCCCGACTGGACCTGTTTTTCTGGTCGGATGGTCACGCACTAAAACCTTTTCTTTCACCTCCACATTAAAAGAACCGTCTGGACGGTCCCATTTTTCAGCGACTGGCCTTTCAACAACTTTGAGTCGTTCTTCCGGTCGGCCACTGTTTGGCTGACTTCCTTTTTTTGTTCCGGGGCTTGCCTGAGTTCGTTCCCCTGTTTGTCCATCATTGGCCGAACTTTTCCCTGTTTCCGAACTTGGTTGGATGTCAACCATTGCCGTTGTTACTTTCGGAAACGGTTGCTGGTCTACACCTAGAGTGATGTATTTGAGCCGACCTGTCTTGATGGCCTTTTGAATTTCCTTCCTGAAATGAGTACACTGACTTGTATTGTGTGTGAAAGAATTATGCCACTTACAATATGGTCTCCCTTTGATTTCTTCTTTAGTGGCCAATCTTTGCCCCTTTGGAATACGGATCTGCCCATCAGTCAGTAGGATATCAAAGATTTCATCAGCTTTCGAACTATCAAACGTCGGTTGCTCCTTTCCTTCAGATCCTGGTACTGGCTTCAATTTAGGGCATACATAAGGTTTTCCAGAAAGGATTTCGGCTGCCATCTCTTCTGACTGATTAAAATCAAAGTCACATGTTTCTGTTCCCATACTCGCCATATGTTGGCCTCTATTACGCCTGTTATGCTGATCTTCCTCTCTGAACAAAGACTCTAAACGTCCTGCCTTGGATGCAAGACTTGCCAAATCCTCAACATCCAGGGCAGTGAGTGCCTTTCTTAAGCGAGTATGCATATTCCGGACCACTAAATTGGTCATCTCTTTCTCACTGATTACCGTAGGACATCGTCCCTTCATCAATCGCACCCTTTCTATAAACTGTGAAGCAGATTCTTCTGGATACTGTCTCAATTCTAGTAAATCAGTTAAAGAAACAGTTGGTAAAGGATTGAAGAATCTGGCATGAAATGCCATCTCCAGTCCTTCCCACGTCTGAATTTGTCCAGGAGGCAGACTTGCAAACCACGAAAACGCTGTTCTAGTAAGAGATAAACCAAACAGCTGCAACTTATAAAAAGGGTTATTGCCAACTTCTCCTAATTGTGCTGTGAACCGACCAACATGTTCTATGGTGGAAGATCCGTCCTCCCCTGAGAATGCATGAAAATCGGGTGGTCGATAATTCCTTGGGAGAGGGTGTTCATTAATGATCCTTTCTGGGAAAGGTCTCTGATATGCAGGGCGGTTAGCCATCTGAGGAGTTAATCCATACTGATCCCTTAATATATGTGCAATCTCATCAGGATCTACATGAAAGCGTTGATGATCAGGAACATGGAACGGATCCTGCACAGGAATATGAATAGGATCATGTATATATCCTTCAGGCCTGTCCTCCCTTGTATTGTTCGGCTGCGGATTGGTAACCCTTGGTCCCAGTGGAACAGTGTTGGGAAAAGTCAGAGGAGATTTTCCCCTATCCATTCGGTTGGGATTTGTGGCACTTGGGAATGTACTATCCACGAATGATGGCCCTGCGAAATTTGTCTGTAGTCTGGATGGTGATACTCCTGGTGGAGTTTGAGTAGGTTGAAGACTAACCCTTGACAGTGCTTGATCTATCATGTTCTGCATCAGGCTCTGTTGCTCACGCAACATGTTCGTTTGTTGCTCACGCAACATATTCTGCATAACCAAAGTTTGCTGGTTGTTCATTTGTTGAACATAAGACCACCAATCAGTTGGTGGTTGTGGGATTTCCCCGGAATTTGGCACAATAGGTGGTGGAACGGATTCTGCCACCGGTGCCGAAGATGATTGAGGTTGTGAACCTGCCATATGGACCCTTCCGATGATACGGCCGGATCTAAGACGTATGAAATTATCGCCGGAATTGGAATGAGCAATTGTGTCTTGCTCCCACTGTGGTCGCCAATTTGTTGATGTAATTTTTCAACAAAAATAAAGTAAAATTCAAAGATATAGAAAATATCCTTAAACTTGATTAATTAGTGCCTGAGATTAGGAATCTCTAAACACTGTATGGTACAGAAAATAAACTGGAAAATAAAAGACTGAAATTTAAAGTGGTGATCCCCAAATCTGACTTTGCTTTGTTGAAGTTGATTGAAGATGCCTTGCCAAATGATGATCCAAATCCTTAAATATTCTTTGAAGAAACTGTACTGAAAACCGTCGCCCGAACGGTTACAACGTCTCCTTCCCAACCGTCTTCCAACCCTTCTCCTGCTGACACGTGTCCTCAGCAGACCAAAATTATCCCTATATTTCACTCTTTGAGCCGACCACAGACCTTCCGCCCTTTTGGCCCGACTTCGTCCTTCGCCCGACCTGCTTCTTCGCCCGACCTCACTTGGGCCGACTTCCGCATCAGCCGCCCTCCGTCTTTGACCGAAGACCTCCGCGTCTATCCGTACCTCTTCCTTGCCCGACCTTCCTCTTGACAGACCTCCGCGTCTGCCCGACTTCGCCTTCTATCCGATCTACGGTTTACCCGACCTGCGGACTTCCCATCCTGATGGCTTTCCGTCTTGAGGACCTACCGACCTGAAGACCTTCCGCCCTTTAGTCTTTCCATCCTGAGGACTTCCCGACCTGAGGGCCTCCCGACCTGCGGACTTCCCGTCCTGATGACTTTCCGTCTTGAGGACCTCCCGACCTGAAGACCTTCCGACCTGAGGTCTTTCCGTCCTGAGGACTTTCCGTCTTGAGGACCTCCCGACCTGAAGACCTTCCGACCTAAAGTCTTTCCGTCCTGTATTTTCCTTGATTTCCACACGGTGTCCTTCAGCCAGTTCAATCAACTCTATTGCCAGGCCCATTCTTCTTTTTACCTTGGGCTTTTAACCTAATTCTAAATTTCGTACGTAACAACTATATATTAAGACTTAAATAACTATTAATTTAATAAAAATTAGAAAAATTATAAATTATAAATTTTAAAATATAATTAAAATATAAAATACATAGTATATTAGACGAAAAGAGTATTATTTATAAGATATGAATTTATTAAATAAATAAAAGAAAAATTGATATATCTAAGGGATCAAGTCTTGCCTCCTTTTGAAAAATTATGGCCGGACAATTTCGTTTTGCTGGCTACATAAAGTCTAATAGTGATGTGTTTTAACAAAAATTTGAGCTTAAATAGTAAAAATTTTGAATTAATAATAATTACAATTCAGTGAACATAAATAGGTGTTATAATATTAATTTTTAGTATAATATAAAAAATAAAAAATAAATTTTGATTGATGTTTGTTAGGAGACTGAAAAATTTGATAGATACTAAAAATTTGATAAATTACTAAATAAATTACATTACTAAGAAACATAACAAGATAAATTGCCTATTGGCTCTATTCGTGTCAAGGCATCTTTATTCTAATGACCAGTCCAACATTTCTTCTCTTGGTGAAAATCTCTAAGGCAACTAACTCAAGGACTACATTCTGCAAATAACAACCCAAATATCATCAACTCCAAAACCATTACAACTTCTGTTTTTTTGCCACAGAAAACCTCAAGAAAACACATCTTCCCAAGGAATGACCTACTAGTTTTCTTGCCAATTTAAATGCATTCTTACAATACTACATACAACTATCCAAATATTCGATCTAACAATGCCAAAGATTGCTTCTAATCTTGACAACCCTTTCAACTTCAACTACGGCCTACAACCTTGTTCTGTAGAAAAGGATCGTACTCACCGTCTTTGTCGCCATATGACTTACCTCTCCTTTCATGACACAAGCGCGCTTATACAGTATACGCCAGTGGCCCCAACCTGATAACTACTATATATACATACGAACAGACATACAGAGAAAAACAAACTTAATTCTATAACCAAAAGAAAATAAAATATTCCGAGTATACGGCAGGAGAGACTCAAACCAAGTACACACTATACAATGCCAAAAACAGAGAATCTTGCTTCTAAGATTATCGTACATAATTTTGCACGCGGACAGAAACGCAAGAGTAGAAAGAAAGAAGACAACAGAACAGAAAATGCACATACATAACAGAGAAGATTACATAATTTTCAGGACTCCTCCCCTAACTGCCTTTCCATAACAATCTCCCCAAGCTTCATGTACACGTCTTGCAGCTCCTCGAACGTGAGGTTCACCAATATCTGTTCGCCATAACCAAAATCATTAAATTTCACCAAATTACTAGTGAACCAACTCTGAAATTAGTCATCAGTTTGCAGGGTTTGTCACCTGGTCCATGATCATCTCGACCGATAAGCTTTGGGGCACAACAAATGATTGGTGATATATGTACGCAAAAACAGCCATAACCATCTGTGTACATATATATGAGTACGTGTATACCAACAGTTAGCAGGCTCAATAATAAAAGGCACGAGCATTAAAAGTTCGAAGAATTACAAATAATCAGCTTTTTTTTTTCAAGAAAGAATATATAAATATCCACTACAATGTAATTATGGATTTTGAAGTCATTCACGGTTGGTTCATACACCGGCCTGCAGACCTTAATGTATATCTATTACAGCTACATATCCAAGTTACCCATACAAAATGCGACTGCATATTTATCCTTCCTCGAATAATTTTTCTTATCTTAAATTATCTATCATATTGAAGTAAGGATTGAAACATATAGAATCAAGGCAACGTGCATTCTGATTAGATATTTTAATTGATTTATATATAAACAGCATGATTCTTTTGTAGACTCCGTGTATTTCTTATGTACAAAAATAGATATAAAACTCGTGCAAAGATTAAGTGTGTCCGTTTTACTAGTAACTATAAATTTTTCATTATATACTTCCAACGGTCCTATATATTAGAGTATGGCAAAGATGATGCAACATGCTTACGCATGCATTTCACATCTAATTAAAACTCATATCTTATTCACCTGGCAATCCATTCTATCAGTGATCCCACCATGTCCAGGAATGCTATCACCGAAATCCTTCAAGAGAAGGATATGTCGTCAGAAAAAAAGGAAAAAAAAAATGATATTTAAGTGTGAACAATTGATTATACCATACACATGTGCATGGGTGCAAAGAAATGAAGATTTGATATTAGTGATTTCATACCTTAACCTTGAAAGCTCTTTTAAACCCACTGGCAAAGAAGCCTCCAAAAGGTGCGATGATCGATGCAAAGAGACCAAGGCACAGAGCATGCCACTGTACAGGCAAGACAGAAATCTCCCTCCAAGGGAACTGTAAAAATAGCCAAATCAATTGAGCACACGAGGAGCATTCTAGATGAGACTGCCATTGTGCAAAAACAATAGAAAGTTTCAAGATAATGACACAGTAGCTTCCACGATGCAAAAGCTTTCATAGTATAGGAACATCTACCCTTTAATTCAGACAAAAGTATACAACTGTTATTCTAACTCAATATTTTCCCCCACATTGTTGATAAAAATGGAATGCACATTTCATCCACACAATTCCCAACCCCAATCATAAGCTGTAATTTCATGTTTAAAACATTGGGTGTGTTTGTTTGGGTGATATTTGATTTGTTTTCCACTATCTATAAATTTTTTCCCCAAAAAGTATTAAATCAAATATCTAGTTTTTTATATTTTATATTACACTAGAATTAATATTACATTAAAAATATTGCATGAATTCCTATTTATCAGATCAAACAACTACTCAAATTCAAAATTTTACCATTCAAATTAAAACCCAAAATCAAATCAGCCAAACAAACACACCCATTGATTTTCCTCTCCTAATCTCCAAATAGATATTAGGTAAAAAGATGTAACGGTATTCCCTTGCACAAAGTAACAAAAATATTGGGATGGCAGTGAAGAGAGAACTAATGCCCAAGCACTGCTTGCTACGAGGTATTGAGTTCAGATATAGCTTCCAGAGGCAGCAAAGGAGGTTTCTTCCGCAATGTCACTTTAAAACGTTAACAGTGTCATCGAATAGAGAGATTGTTGGGATCTCTACAAAAACATTATTTTCTCAGATGCAAAGTTCCTACACTTCTAGAACCCGCCTCACCACCCAAGTTCAGTGGGATGAAATGAATACATGAAAAACTTACTCTTAGCCATAGACATCTACAGAAAGATTATGCTGAATTGATCAACATGATCTGAGATATGCTTAAAATATAATTTAGAGAAGAATGCTATTTACCCATTGTGCAAACCACAGCGGAACAGTGAAACTTTCTGGCTTAAACAATGAGCCAGGATCACAGTGAAGCCAACCAGTTGACAAGTCCTACTCATAAAGCATCAAGAAAGTATTTAGCTTCTTATGTTAACAAATAATCTCTTTCAACAGAGAGGAGAGGATATAAGCCATCATTACCTTTCTAGGGCATGTCAACCATTGAAAGCGACCCAATACATTTGCAAGCTTAAAATCATATAAACAAAGTCATCAATAAAACCCAAAAGTCACATATCTACCAAAATCACTAATCAGTTCCCCATTGCTAATAGAATCTCATTACCACATAAGTGGGAACCCATTTCTTTAGAAGCAAAATAAGCAAACAGAAAAGCTACCTAACAATTTAAAGTATTATACTAAGCAAACTGATTTTGACAGGCAATATATAACACCTAAACTCTACACTGATTATCATAAGGCAATTTGCTTACCCAAAATGCAGATATCATGGTAGTAACAGACGCCCCAATGAAGCCCTCCCATGTTTTCTTCGGTGACAGCTTGATCAGAGGAGTTTTCCCAAAGAAAAATCCGAAAATGTAAGCAGCAATATCATTGATAACAATAAGTGATGCTGGAAGAAGGAACCTGCGATATTGGAATCAATATTAGAGGACCTTAAAATTTCAAAATGGAACATATTAGCATCAAATTCTTCATAGCATCTTCTAATTAATGTTGTATAACCTTCAGAACAGCCAACAAATCCAACAGTGAGAAAAGTTTATTAACATTAAGGAAATGCTGTCAGATGGGGTTCACATTTATGGCTCTTATTCTCAACTGTTATAGACAACATCTTATTTCTCAATTACCTATATTTTAAGTATCCAGAGATCAGTTAAGTATTTTATTGGACTCACATCTTATATTGAATTCTATGTTTTTGCCATTAGTGTGAGTCTCCCCAAGCCACTCAAATGGGAAAGTCACTAATGGTACATGAAGCATTATGGTTCAAAAGTTCCCTTGGAGGCATAGTGCATAGTATGCCCTATAAATCAAAGTGCGAAATCACTTGAATACATAAAATATTATACTATATATAAGTCTTAACAGAACAGAAACACATGGAGATATTTTAATACTAAACAACATCGATGATAAGCTACTGCTGAAATTTTTAGGTTGAACGTAATTTAAAACATATTTTATAGCACTGCATTAATAATATGAAGATGTATTAATTATTTCTCAAACTTCTAAATTAATCCATTTTTGTAGGTAAATTTGGAGGAAAAAAAAATAAAAAGACAAGTGCATAAGCAATATACAGATATATATATATATATGAGACAGAGAGACTAATATATTAACTAATTATAAAACTTCTAAAATTAATCAATTTTTGCAGGTAGATTTGGAGGAAATTTTGATAAAAACACTAGTGCATAAACAAAATAAATATACGAGGTAGAGACTAATACGAAGGAGACAAAGGAATTAAAAAGGTAAAAGAAAGAATCTAGATTACTAGGCAAAACACTTTACAATTGTACTATGTTTTCAAAAGAAAGCACACACACACACACATAAAAATATGTATATATACAGAAATATGATTAGCACTCCCTTGCATCACCATTGCCCCTAACTATGCCAGAAAGAGCCTTGAGCAATTACATACACCATATGAACTATCATTATAAATTGAACTCCACAAAAACCATTAGTTCAGAAAAATAGCAGAGGAGGAAAATGAAGAGAAGGGTGATCAAAGGGACTACTAATGGTAAACACGAAAAGTGAAGTTGTATTACCAGAAAATTCCTTCAAAAATGTTTGCCACAGTAAATGATGATTGGGCGAAAACCACAATCAGAATCATATGCGTCCAAGCATATTGGCCAAATTGATACTTGTACATCTTCTTCTTCAGTGTCAGAATGAACCACATGAAACCTCAATTCACCAAAAGAAAATAATCAGTTCAGCATTTGTTTGAACAAGCAGCATCCTGCAGTCTAATGTTGCCAGTTAATAATAATAATAATAATACACTTTCATCAAATTAATAGGCATTGTGAGTCATCATGATTAAATGTGATTCATCAAGAGACTCACAGCAATGACTCAAAGAAAATCTTCATCCATCATGAGATCAAAAAAAAAATTTCAAAAAAAGATAAAAGAAAATTGAAATTTTTTATTTTACCAATACCCAGTTATTAGCCTTCATTCAAATCCCTAGAGATAGGTGAGGAAGAATCCTTAAGAAACTAACAGGAAACATTATTTTTACAGCATATGGCTAATCATATGATTTCCAGGGTATGTTATGGAACTTGTCAAATGAAGGAGATTTTAGTGTTTAAATGAAGAACTGTATCAACTTGGAAAGTTGTGGGGAATACAAATTTGAAATTTAACAAGAAACTCCCAAAATATTAAAATTTGGATTCTTGAACGGGTTGGTGAAAATTGAACCAGAATGAGGCAATTACATGCAACCTACAAGGTTTGCAGCACCAGATGATTAATCCAAGATAAGCAATTGGAATGGGAATTTCGAGGAAATTGGAAGTACAATTATTATAGAAGCAGAACTTCTTTCCCTTCGAAATGTATCAATACTTGCATCAGAAAGAAGAGTGACAAACAAAAATTTAATATGAATCAGTGGTTGTATTCAATCTAGTTTGAGAAAGTGGGAATTCCCCCTAGAGTGTATTTTAGATGATTACATGAGCTTATGGAAAAACAAAGGGGTCACCCTCCCACATTAAGATAAGAACATTAATTCTAATGCTTTTGAAAAGAAGTTTGCTCAACATACAAAATGATTTGAACTTTGGAAAGAGCTGGAAGAGGAAGCTCATTATGCTTTAATCAATTATTTTAGTGTGTGAAGCTCCTGATGAATAAATGTAATATTAGTAGTGTACTCATAACAATGGGATCAATAAGATTTTAAGGGAAGCATTTTGGATTCAAATCTAACCATGAGAGAGTTCACTCAAAATCCATAAGCATCAAACAGAAGAAAACTAAATCAACACATAATAGCTAACCTGCAATATACAAGAAATAACAGGTAACCATATGATATTTGATAAATTTGCTCACGAGCTTATACAAAACTTTGTCTGTGGCCACAGTGTTCACAAGCCTCTGACTGAGAATGCGACCATATACAAATAACATTGCTGTGAAGAAGAAATGCCTGAAAACAAAAGAACAAAATTAGAAAAACAATTGATAAATTTGAGAAACTCAATAGTTGCACAGGTTGATATGGCTTCTAAAAAAAAAATAAAAATGGCAAGAGCAGTAACAGAAGAGACTACTGACTGCTCTGTAGAGCAAGCACATCAAGAAGCTCTTCGCAAGTGCAAGTATTAAGTTGTAAGCAATGAGGTTATATATATTTAAATTGATTTCTCAGGCTTTGCATAAAATTAAAATTAAATAATCCATTATGTGATGCACTACACTATAGTTTGTATACCTCTCATAACATACAATACGAGTGTATATTAAATCTTCCATTACCTCAGCAAGAAAAAAGAAATCCTAACTTTTGTTGTGTTCAACAAAACAAACTATCTAAAGCATTTTAACAGTCAGAAAATAAAAATATTTCAATCATCTAAAGCCACAACTATTAAAAAATTCTAGAATTGACACTTCTATAATTTATACACCCCATTATATCCTTTAGACTCAGTATAAAGTGCACATTCCACACAACTAACATGTCTAGTAAAGCAGGAGTATAATAGGAAGTCGAACATGGTTTCAGCTAGCAAGTGTGGGCAAGTAGAAGAAAATGTAGAAATTACAAACACTAAACTGAAATAGTATAGCAATGTAACACATTGTCAAAATACGATGGTATGGATTCAGCCCAAAATGAAAAAGCCAAAAGCCATGTAAACAAACATGCTTGTGGAAACAAACAATATTTGCAATAAATAAGGTAAGCATTAACTAGATAATATTTCCAATTTTGAAAGCACTAAATAGTAATCAAGAACAAAATATTATTGTCCGCACACAAAGATGCCATTAACTAGAAATCTTTTTCTGGCACGAGCTGGTATGGAAGTAACTAAGTCATATTACATGCATACTTAGTATTTAATCAAACCAAAAAGAGATCACTTCCAGGAAATAAAATGATAGAACAGAAAAATGAAAAGTTTGTTGTTATAGAAATGACGTGAAAAAGAAAAAAAAGAAAGATAGAAGAACTTCATTGAAAAGAACAAGCCTGTAGCATTCTATTAGGGGCACAGAGGCATAAAATTCCGATCGCCAGAGGGAAAAATTAAGAAACATCTATTTCTTTGAGAGAATCCAAAAAATTACCACAGCAAGTATGAGGGGATCGACAACAAATGTCCAAGGAGTGACAGAGAAACAAGAGCACAAAGTCGAAATATGTTAACAAACTAAATGACTTACCAATTCAAGAGTCTAAATCCAGGGAGGCGCCTTTCCTCATTCGCTCTCCTAAGTAAATTGAAGAGCTCCTTGGCCATGAATATTTGGATAATAACCACCATAGCCCAAATGTAAAGGTGACCCATATATATTACAAAGGCAAATCCTCCAATCATCCAAAAGGTTGAATATGCACGGACCAGCATCGACTTGTACTTGTTATTATCATTGACGAGTAAATGGCCCCCGTTAGCTTTATTAACTTCTGGAGAAACCTAGGGTATTAGAAATGAAAGCATTTAAGAAATTTCAAAACCATCATATGTACACTCTTTAACTTTTGGGATTGGCTTATCAACAAGAAAGAAACAAAAGAGTAAACAAAAATTCTGCCTGAATTTATTGCTATGGTTCTCCATAAAAATAACAGTAATAAATAGTATTTACTGAGTTCACGGAAGGCTTTCAGTTGGATTAATTCCACCCCTTAGTTGTCACTAGAAAATGGCGCAGAATGATGCAAACCATGCCAAATTACAGCTATAAATTCATAAAATAAAATACAAATACAAATATACGTGCCATGTATTAAGTATGAAAACATCAATGCTCAATGTAAATTACAAATATCATATAAAGTCTCAACCATTAGTATAAATACTAATCACAGGAACTTTTAAAAACAATATTTTGACAAAGGACCTTTGTTAGCAAAATCACGAGCAAGTACAACAAAAATGAAAGGGTACAATATTAAGACAAACAACGAATCATGAGTTGGGGTTCACAACATTTGGATAATATTTCAATATTATGGTTATAATAACAAAACTAATGAAAATCAGGTGGACAATCTAACAAGAACATCTTTGCAACGAAATGGGCAAATGGCACACAGCTCATTGAAGAGGTGTGTCATGCCTTGGCGAATGGGCCGAGATTTTGCTATACACCATTTGAACCATAAGGAACAATTGACAACTACACTCCACCCCATATGATGTCTCGAAAGAGCATCACAGTAAGCTCAACATCAATAACTAACCTCATTTGATGCTCTACGCCGACGTATTCTTACAGTAGGACCCCCAGGAGTCGACGGGCCACCTGAACCAGTATCCTTTTGCATAGTTTCTACAATCCTTAGTCCTAGCAGGAAAAAGACTTACCCAATCATTCACATTCCGAGGAACTAACTGGCAACCAAAGATTGCTTGCAGGAAGCTCTCGTACTACTTGAGTTCTTCTGTGGCTAGAACTGGGAAAAACATACATACATATATATAGGAAATGGAATCTCAGTAGTCAATAACATTAATACATCCCATTTAAAAACATTGAATAACAGCATCATAGAAAATTTGGATATATATATATATATATATACACACATGAAAGGGTTGGTTTCGATTTTTTGATTGAGCTATCAATTAAAGATACAGAGAGTGGATTCAGAGAAGTCAAAATCATCATAAACATTTAAAGTAGACAAATTACGCTACACATAAGCTTCAAAATTGGTTACTGCAATCTGACCTGCAACAAGCATGTAACAAAATCCCGATTTCAATCCAGCCTGCCTCGGCACGCAAAACAGTGAGAGGTTTCAACACCGGGCGGAGCCCCTGAAAATCAATTTGAATTCATAAATTGAGACGACATGACACAAACACGCAGCCGAAAAGGATTGAGTGTGGAGCCCTTTTGGAGGAGAGAGAGGGAGAGAGGGAGGGATCTGATTCTTGAGTCTTGACCTTTGCTTGGGCTGTGGTGGGCGTGGCGGAGTGGAGTGGAGGAGTTGAAAAGCGAAGTTTGTGGAGGATCAAAACTGATTTTGATTTTGATTTTGTCGATGATATTCACAATTTGAAGCTCAGATTAATGATTGATTGATTGGAGATTCTTTTTATGATCATAGCTAAAATCAAATCACCAGCTACTCGAATCTATCAAGAAAATTTTATTTATTACTACTCCTTTCGTTATAAAACAAATTTTGTTTTATATATCGTGTAAAACACTTTTTAAATTAAAATTTGTACTATAAAACAACAATTTCGTCCATATTTAGTATAAATACAAATAGAAGATAATAAAAATATCTTAAATAATACTTTTAATAAAATAAATAAATAAATAATCAATTATTTATTTATTAAAAAAATTTATTTGAAATAGATTAAGTTTTTTATTTGTATAAAACTTATTAAATTCGTATTTACACTCAAATATTTAAATGAAAGAAATGTTTTGTGTATTTTTATTGAAACATCGGTATTATATAATTTATCCATAAGTTTATATTTAGTTTTTACTCTTTCTACTTAACATTAAAAATAAAAAATATTTTTATACAAATATTATTATATTTATATTATAAAACATTAATATAAGTACTTTTGCTATTTTTTCTTTTAATTTATTTTACGTTTTAATATATAATTAATGTTTGAAGATAACACTCAAGAAATAAATATAAATTTTTAAAATGAATAAAAGTGCTATTTTTTTTTGAAGTTTTTTATTTTGAATTTTTCAATTTTTTTATTCATGCATATTAGAGTGAAGTTCATATACATATATTGATAATAATGAAATGAATTTTTTTTTTAAAAAAAAAATTATTATATACAAATAATAATTAAAAGTTAGTTGGAAAAACAAATAGCAACGTAGAATTAGAGCATAAGCAGTGGCTGTCTTCTTCATCAACGGATTTTCGGCGCTCAAGGGCTCTCCTTTCCCACGTCAAAAAATGACACAAACATATCTATAAATTTCTTACAATATAAATACAATGATATTTTTTTGAATAAATTATACAAATATCAAAATATTTTTTAATATTAAATAGAATTATACGAAAAACAAACGATACCATATGGGACAGAGGTAGTATTAGAGTTGTGGTCATAACAACCGAAAAAAATAAGTCAAATAATCTACTAAAATGAGAAAAATTATGCCAAATAATTTTACAAAAATTGTCTATAACAAAAGTAATATATATTTCAGGCGTAGGTTTTAAAAAATTACAATTCTTATTTCCTAACTGTGGTGGGATTTTGAGATTTTATAATTTATTTACACATAATTTTGATAATACGAAAATTTATTATCGTATTTTTAATTTAATTTTAATTATGCTAAAATTAACTATCGTATTATTTTTATATTAATTCTATTATTCTTAGGGGCTGTTTGGTTCAAAGATTTGATGGGATTCCATGGATTTGGATTTTAAAATCCTATGAAATCCATGTTTGGTTTGGTTAAGAAAAAGAAGGTGAAATTTAAAATGATAGGATTTGAAAATGGTGTCTAAAATCCTACAAATAAGGAATTTTTTTGTAATTGGATACCCTGTTACCTTTAAATCCTATTCTTAAAATTTTAATTTTTACATTTATATCCTCTTATAAAAAAAAATAATAGTATTATATTTATATAAAATATTAAATAATTTTAACATTAATTATTATTGGAATTATATACTTAATTAAATTTATATTATTTTTTATTGTACAATATTTTTTAAATAAACTAATAAATTCATTGTTTAAATTATTATTTATTATAAATTTTTTGAATTATAAAATTATAAGGATAAGTCGGGTTCAGTCGGAACTGATATTCATCCCAAATATATATTGTTAAATCCGAGATTCAAATTGGATCCGATTATACTAGATCCGACCGAGACTATACCCGGTAAGACTTGATGAATCCGAAAAATCCCTTTTTTTTTATAATTCTTAAATTTTAATTTAAAATTACACATGTACCGGATCCAATGTATATTAAAATTTATGTATTTTATTAGAAAAATATTATAATAAAATAATGAATACGTTAAACTCAAAAAATATTTTTAATATAATTATATTATTCGAAATTATTTTTTGATATGTATGGTTGATATATTATTATTATATTACCCTGATCATGATCCGGATCCAGGCCTAATACTCAAATAATTGGACTCAACTTCAAATAAATAGGTCGGACTCGGTCGGATCTCGAGTTTATGCGAATCTATTTTCATCCTATAAAATTATTAATATCTTTTCAATTTATATTAATAATAAATTAGAGGTTTAATTTGTCAAAATGAATAAAATTTATAAGAGGAATTATGTCATTTAGAATATAAAAATCCAAATCCACAAAATATAAATCCCACCACATTTTACCAACCAAACATAATATGGGATTCCAAATCCTAAATATAATAAATCCCATCACATATAAATCCTACCATGAAATCCCAATCCCACCAAACAAGTCCATGAACCAAACAGCCCCTTAGTATTTTATATACTCCCTCCGTCCCAAATATTAATTTGTTTTGTAGTTTTAAAAATATTAATATTATATTGGAATATAGTAAGAATAAAATAAAAATGATTATATATATATATATATATATAATATTTGTGCACTTTTCTTTATACATAATATATATTTTTAATTAATATAATTTCAAATAATATATCATATTTTTTTTAAAAAAATGTACGTAAAATTTAAATATTTCGATTAAGAAAAGTATCAAAGAAAATTTATACAATAAAAAGCATAGTAAATTTTAATAAGTAAAAAAAAAAAAAATTTAATTCCAACTTTTTTAGGTGTAGTCTATTGGCGACGGGAGTTCGATTCACCCGACCCACTGTATTAACAGTTATATTTGAACCATATAATAAAACAAAGGAAACATATTATTGTGAATGGTCAAATTTCCATATGAATAATATGTGAAGGCGAAAAAACAATCTCCGAAATTAGCAAGTCAACATATACACACAACTAACTTCAAGTACATACCTTCATCAACAGACACAGAACCTCAAATTCATCACATAACACTGCAATCACACATATATTATATATATATATATCGTTATCAATAGCTTTTTTTCTCTTTTTGATCGATTATGTATGTTAAAGAAAGCCGGTATCGATAAAAACTCACCTCACCTAAGATTCCCGCGTCTCCTAGCAATCCTATGCCCGGCGCCAATCAGCACAGCTCTTCCGATCACCCCTGTTTTCAGTCCACAGGCGAGGGCGACAGCTCCACCAATCGCCACCCATTTCCAGTCGATCCCACCCCCACCCCCACCCCCATCTTCTCTCTGCTGCTGATTGCTCGTTACAGCAAGCTCCTGTTTCTCTTCTCTGTCGCACTGTGTTTCCTCTGCTGCAGCAGAGTTGGTCGCATTGTCGAGGGCTATTTTTCCTGCAACTCTTGCCATGAGAGCGCACCTGCTCGGCGTCGCATCCTGTTTCCAAGCGGTCTGATATGTTCTGAACCCGGCGTGCAGCTTCTTGACGGTGCCCCACATTCCGTGCCGGACCCCCAGCTTAGCGACGTCCTTAGGGATTCCCATGTCTTCGTAGTGCACGAGCGTGACCTCACAAGCAGACGTGCCATCCCCTTTTAGAGATTGGGCTGCAAGATAAGATTAAAAACACGTTTTAGTCGAAGAACAAGAAAAACAAAAAAGGTGTAATATTGTTGCCAGGGTAGGGTAGGGTAGGGTGGATGAGACTTGCCTGGCCTGATCACCCAGCTTGAAAAATAAAGATCGACGCGCCTAGGCTTGTCCCGTCTTGGTAATGATGGGTACGGCACACCCTGCAGCCAAAAATAAATTCAAATTGAAACAAGATCAGGTGACAAGTACACCAAAATCGATAAATGGAGATCTAAATGGTGAAAATCTTCGGTTTTTTTTAATTTTTTTTTACCTTTGTTACACAATAGTATGTTTTCCCTTCCTCCCATATCCTCCTACCGATGATATATTCACGGTCGCTGCAGAAGAAAGGGAACTGTACAGGCAAGAACAGTCCAGATAACATCAGTCGGCAAGTTGTAAATTAAAGATTAGAACTTATGCACATAAGTGACTAGCAGTAAATTTGAGCTTATATTTGTTATTAACCTTTTTAATCCAGTGAATAATCATCATCCCTGTGTTAGGGCATTCTTCGAGTATTTTCACATGATACAGCATAGGATCCCATTTAGGTCGAAACTCGTCATCCCAGAAAAAATCTCTGACTAGCTCCGGAGTTGCATCCTCAAAAATGGTTTTGCTGCGCAACACTATTGGGCCATTCTGTATCGGAAAACATATCCACAAAAGTGCAAATCTATAATTGAGACATCCTAATTTTCTTAAGAAGCCAGAAATGGAATTGTAACAGAGAACCTAATTACTAGTCATAAGAATTTTGAAAGATGAATCAAAACATAAGCCCAAATACCCATTTGGATGTAAAAAGTAATGACTATCTGATATTTTAAAATTCATAGAACAAATCATTATTATCTCCCACAGTGAAAACTTTCTAAAGAGGCAAGATGGAAGAATAACCTCAGGTTCATGTCGCCACGCCTGGTATGTCATGTTTGAAGTGGACCGCTCCATCATGTTTTGCCACGTTATTTTCCCATCTTTCCCATCAAGAAAACTTAACAGGTGCTCCAGGTCTTTTTCTGTGACATTAGCTGTCTCGCTATCGGCAGCTCCCCTAACCAACCTACAGAAGACAGCCAAAAATGAGCGCCATATCTCGGAAAGTGAATATGTATCTGATCAAAGGTGACATCGTATGAAAAACATAATCAGAGAGAATTTGCTTCTTACAAATATAGAGAACATCGACAGGAGCCACTAAAAAGGTTAATACAAACCATTCATGTATATATTAACCTGAGCACATAAGCCTCAAATTTTGAAGTGAATCTAAAATCTATATTTGTTTGCCATGCTAGAAATTAAAATAATTCTGAATGCAAGTGCAGTGCATAAACATTGATACTTTTGATAGCATCTTATTTTTTCAGAGTAAAATCATGCAACCTCAGCCTCTCTGTCTCAACTACAAAAGATGTAATAAATGTTTTAAGAGAGAAACATAAGTTTTTCTGTTGGATCATCTAATAAAGAACTCAATTTTTTAATGACTGTATAACATTAAAAATTTAGACAATGGGAGCAAATCATAACTTAAATGTAGAAATTCAGCAGCAGCTATTGAATCAGTAAAAATAAATAAATCAATTAATACTTCATAAAAAAAAAAAATATTACTATTGTATTTTTATTCTTATATAAATTTGTGATCACTTCCCCTAAATTAACATCAATTATTATAATTAATATTTAATTAAATTAGTTTATCTAAAAAATTTTATATCTATTGTTATTTATATATAAAGTTAATTATTTATCTATATTTAAATTTCAATAAGTACTTTTACAATCACTTTAAGTATATTTTCAAATATTTTAAATAGATAAATAAATAATTTTATATACAAATAACAATAGAATAATAAAATTTATATAAACTAACTCAATTATAAATATTAATTATAATAATTGATGTTAATTTAAATATATTTATTTGATTAAATTAATTATAAAGCTAAATCCATTCATTTAAAATTAAATTAATTTAAAATTATTTATTCAAATAAATTTAAATAATTTTTTAGTATTAATATAACTATATACTAGTTTATATAATTTTTTTTTTTAACAAATATATTCTAATTAAACTTGATTACAAAATTTAAATAAAAATATTTCTAAAAATATAATATAATTTAAATATATGTGTACAATATATATATGTTAATATCTATTTGATATTATTAAAAATAAAATAAATAAATATTAAAGTTTTTGAAAATGTTAAAAAAATTAGTAAAATATTTTAAGGGGTATAATAAGTAATTAGAAAAAAACAATTTTAATAAAAATCCCTCCCATCCAATTAATTTATTCATTTATTCATAAAATGTGTGCGTTTGGTTGATATGGAAATGAAGGAATGTTAAGAGAGAAAAAAATAATATTTTTGTATTTGATTAAACAGGCGAGGGAAAAGAAAATATAAATATGATAAAATAAAAGTATTTAACAAAATTTTGTTAATAAAAACATCAATTTCGATATAAGAATAATATATAGTGTGACATAGTTTGTTTTAAAATAAACACATATATACTTATATCATATAAATAAAACAAGCATATATATACTTATATCATATAAATAAAACAAGCATATATATACTTATATCATGTAAATAAAACATAAATAAAATAAAATTATATGTAAGAAAATTGAATAATTTAATAACAAAATAATTATTCTAACATAAATTTTATTTATTTAGAATAAATTATAAGATAAATATCATTGGCAGCAGTGTTAAATAAATATAATAGATATAAATTTATTTTATTAATTAAAACATGATCTTTAACCGGTTAATTAAATAACTAAATTAAAAATAATTTAATTTGATTAATATAAAATTCTACTTTATAATTTAATTACATTATATAATTTAAAACTAATTTTTAACTATAAAATACGTATAATATATTTTTTATATAATTAAATACAAATAAAGTAATATAATATTAAAAGAATAATAGTAACTTTACAAATTAAACAAACATAATAAAATATTAAGGACATAATAAAATGAGCTTAGTTTGCTTCCCCTCAAAATTGGAGGAATTTGGAGAGGAAAACATGTTTGTTTTTTTAATTTAAAATTACTATTATATCCTTAATATTATATATTACTATATCAGTATTTAACTATAACATAAATTATATTATACTTATTTTATAGTTAAAAATGAGATGTAATATTTTTAAACTATATAATGTAATTACATTATGGAATAAAATTTTATATAAATCAAATTAAATTATTTATAATCTAGTCTATATTGATCTCGTAATTTATTCTAAATAAATAAATTTTAAGCTAGCCTGATTATTTTGTTATCAAATTATTTAACTTTTTACATATAATTTCATTTTTATTTATGTTTTATTTACATGATATAAATATATTATGTTTATTTTAAAACGTCACACTATCTATTGTTCTTATATCAAAATTGAGGTTTTATTAATAAATTAATAAAATTTTATTAAATATTTCTATTTTATATATTTATATATATGAACAAAATAGTAAAATTATTATAGTTTTTTCCCTTCCCGACCATTCCATTCCTTTATTTTCATATCAAGTATCAACCAAATACATTATTATAATTTTAATATTTTCTTCCATTCTTTTTCCTCCCCTCTCCTCGTTTGAACCAAACAGACCCTAAAGATAAAACCTAGGAAGAATAAGCATTACTGCGTAAGATGCAAACAGAGTGAAACAATAGCCAAAAAGGCTTTTGGAGTTCAAGAGAACAGCTGATTCGAAGAAGAGTGAAAAATGCATAGTAAAATGAAGACATGACACAATGCAGAAACCCGAGCTTTATCTAACAAATGTTGCAAATATGCAAGATACAGCATAGGGCCTATTTGGTTGAGCTTATAGGCTATCAAAACAGGGACTTATGAAACAATTAACTTCCTTTTAAATAAATTTAAATATAAAACCTATGTTAGAATAGAGTGAGGCACCAAGACTCACATGAAACATTGGAGCCAAATAGGAGAAAAGGCTCAAGGAGAACTCCATCAAATGAAGGCTTTATAGAGGGAATCAAAGAAACTGATCCATGCAAATATTTTAACAAATAAAGAGAGGAGTGGCAGGTAGTAGTATTGCAAAGCTTGGATAAACCAAGCTCTGAAGATAACCAATGATTTTAAGCAGTGATTGGATGAGAGGTGTCATGCAGAGTTGATGACATTTCAAATATAAACTTCTAGGGAAGTAGGTTTTAAGTTTTAACTGATACAGACAAGTTACTGGGAATATTTTCAAAAGATTATACAGCAAAGGAAAATTAGTAGAGTGGGACATTGGAGAAAAGTGTGAAATAATACCATATGGAAAACACTTATAGGCATATATCATATTAGAAAGGGTTAATTATCCATTTAATGAAATAATGAACACCTCATTATAGAACAATTTGAAAATGATAAGTTTAATCTCAAACTCACCATAACCATAGTCTAAAATAGTGGTGTAAAAATGTAGTTTAATCATAGTCAGGTATTATTTCCCAGTGTTAAATTTGTGTAAACCTTAAATGCAAGATATTTGGTAGCTGCACACTTCTTATCCTCCCAACTCAGGTGCCTTATAGAGACCTTGGTAAATTTTAACATATGCAAGAGGGATTTAATGATTTCCAATTTTCCAGATGTACATGGTCATACAACCTTCTTTAGAAAGATTGCTACATAACACGCATTCGTCTGTTTTGCTAGGAACACACTCGATGATGCAGCATCTCCCTTTTCAACAAGTAGGGTGGATAATTTCATTAGTTGACATTGTTGCTTACATACAATATCAGCGAATACTGAACATATTGATGCATCACAAGCACAGTGGAAAGTAAATGACTGGTGACTTGTTCCCATCATTGCATTTTGCATTCAAAACCCCCAAATTGAAAGCCTGGGGAATTGAATGAAACAGACACAAAAATTGTGGAATAGAGCTATAATCCACATCAGTGGATTGGGATTTGGGAGGCCATGAATTGTAGACAAAAATATCTAAGGCTCAAATATATACGTGAGATTTTTTATTCTGTGAGGATAACATTCAGCAAGAATTCTTGATCCCTCGGAGAATGTATGTGATTAGCACAAATAACATCAGAAAATTTTAGTAATTGAGAACAAGTTCTATTGTGGTCAATGAAATATTAAATAGGAAAAGGAAAAGCTAAACAACCCCAACATTATTCTAAATCCTAATCTATTTATATCTAACTCCTAAACGTGACATAGACATAAACTGAAACAAAAATAATCATATTTATGTTAGGATGTAAGCGCTTGCTAGAAATAAATTTCAGTATTTTTGGAGGACTGACCAATTAGGACTCCATTCACTCACAAAAGATTCATCCTCTTGTAAAAAACATTATTCTCAATGTGATGAATCCTCCAATTTATGCTTCATATGGTCAAACCTCGCTCTCCAAAATTTTTGATACAATATTTGATAATATATTAGTGCATCTAGAATTAGTTTGTCAATTAATTGATTTGCTTCGAATTTCAATCTATAAATTAAGGTAAACAAATATTCTAGTTTTGACTTTATTTTAATTTCAAATCAACAAGGTAATAAGTCTAAAACAAGCACTCTGATTTTCAATCCATCAATGTAATAAGTCTACAATAGGAACACTTATTTCGATAGAAAGCATCATGTTCGTTGATTTTTAACTTAATCAAAGGCCCATACAAAAAAAGTGCAAAAGAAAGTATATGGACTGCCATTTGGTCATAGAAGTGGAGTGATAGATAAACGTCAAATTGAAGGCTAGACTGAACATTTCAAAAATATTCAGGATCAATCTGCGAAGGAAAATAACTAATTTACAAAGATGACATGTAATTATATGAAACATATTTACAACCCCACATCATGGGATAGAAGTTGTGATCAGACACAGGATACACAATTATCTAGAAGGAATAATTTCATAATCAGGGAGATGTGTAACTTGTGATGAGAACCTATAAAAGAAAACCACAACCAACAAAGAAACATGGAGGGGAGGGAGGGGAGGGAAAAAAAATTTATGTATGTTTCTAGAGGGTTGTTGTAAATAATGTTTCTATTTATTAGTTTTAGAAAACTGGGGAATTTTCAAGTTCTCTTCCACCCTAATCACAACCTACATTGAATAAAATTGACAGAATCGATCATGAGTTTGGCCACTTATTTTTCCGGTGAATAAACTTGATGTCATAGTCATGATTGGTAGCTCAATGAAAAACATTTTAGAACCATTTTCTTTCCCTTCCACATTCCACGAATTTGGCAGGCAAGGAAAATGGACGCCTCCCCTTCAAAAATTTTCAAACCAACACACATTTTAAAATACTTTCCCTCACTTCAAACCAAACAGAGCCTAAGAGTGCCTAAGAAAATCCACTGCCTTATGTGAGAAGGTGGAGGTCATAAGTTCAAGATAATCCACTGGTGATCCAGTGGGAGAGAGACAGACAGAGAAAACAAGTAATCAAGAAAGTGGACATTTCTCAATCCAAGTGAGACTACTTCAAACATGATACCTGGGATATTTTACATCAGTAAGGAAGAATAAGAAGGTAAGTCAACATAGGCAGAAATTTTGGCGGTATGAACAAGTGCAAATTGTGGGGTGTTAGGTGAGTTCTTGACAAGGCGGGGATTGTTAAGTTTGATGCTCATCTCGTTCAAAATCAATTCATTGAGGACATTAAAAGCAACTTTAACACTAGTTCGTTCTCCTAATCTTAGTCGGTTTCTGATCCATCTAGCCAACATTTCCCACTTGGATTTCTTTAAGTGAATTGAACTATTTCATTTCTACGGGATACTATCTACCTCGCCTGGTCAGCGTCAGGTAGAATGTCAACTTTGTCACCTTTTTCTTGTGCTCTGTGTAACTGTACTTTTTATCTCAACTGTTAACCCTTTTTTGGTAGGACAATAGTACAATACTAGCAAAATAATGACAGCCAAAGCTCTGTTTGCAATTTACTCTTCACATAAAAAAGAGAAAGAGCTCATGTATATCTTTAGAGATAGTGGTTTACTCAACAACTAAGTGGTAATCATTCTTCACTGTCCTGGTAAATTCTGCAGCTCTGATCACTGTAATTTTCCTCAATTCTCAATTTCCCCATCGTCTCCACTTACTACACTTTGCACTGTTATTTACATTTTTATCTCCATTAAAATACTCCCTAGTTTATAAGGCTTCTTTCTGGAAATACTCATCAGTGTTGCATTTTCTGTCTTCACTACAACAACACCTAACTGAATTCTGATTTATTCTCACAGAGACGAAGAAATAGATTCATCATTCCACTCCAGTGGATTCAAGAACGTGCGAACAAACTAATGTTCCCTATCTTTAATTAACTGTTCATTCACTCTGTCAGCACCAAATGACTCAAAAGGGAATTAAACCACAAACCCTAAATCATGTGTCATAACATCAATAGCTACACTATCATTTGCATCTTAAGGATATCAAAGCAAACAATATCCAACTACTTCCTTCATTCTTCTATATTCCGAATAAACTACTAAGGATATCTTCACAGGTAAATGAACAAGCATAATCAATAGGCAAACATTCAAAACAAAGTTATAAGAAACACAACAGCAGCAAGTATACCTGATATCCCTAGGGTTAACATCGTCATCCCCCAAGGACTCATGACCGGCGGCCACAGGCTCCGAATCCGAACTCGAGGCCTGATCAATTAGCTCCTCCTCCTCCGCCGCCGCCGCCGCGGACTTTTCCAGCTTCCGGCTCTTGCCACGAGACCGAAACCACAGACCGCGACAAAGCGAAAACGCCGAGAGCGCTGTAAAAGCGAGCCAGAACCTCCTGGCACCAAGCCCCGGCGGCAGCGTCCACACGAACCGGAACTTAGATCGGAATCCAAGGAATACCAATCCCGTCCACCTCGGCCGCCACGACCACCCGATTAGCAAGCCGATCATCACCGCCAACCAAATCGGAACCGCGCAGATCAATATGTCGACGAGTGCTTCCATCAACGCAGGGTTATTAACGAATCCCCCAAGCGCACCGTCGTTCAATCCAATCCATCCCCCTTCCATTTTCAGCCGCAATTACCACGCCCTAGAGGTAATTCTACATCGATTTGGCCGCACCTGAATCGAATTGGGTTCGTCGCCGATGAGAGAGAGAGAAAGAGAGGCGAAAGAGGAGCGAGACGCGGCGGAGATAAACCTATTTAACGAAAATTGGATAAAACTAGTTGCCTAAAATTCTGTCAGTTAGAATCTTCGAGGAGCATTCGAAGGAATAAATGCGACATATGCAGTAACCGTACGAAACCGCAGGAAAGGTCACTGCAGAGAAGCGGGCGGCTGGTGAGTAGGAGGTGACGTGGCGCCATCACAATGGCTAAAGTGTTTTTGGATATTTTGACTGTCACGTGCGTTAAAGAACGTCCAAACAATCGCCCAGTTTTGAGGGAGTTTTTGGATAAGTTCAGAGATTTTTTCGATCAGTGCGTGAGACTAACGCGCTTCCACCTCCGCGTGGAATAATAGCATTTATTATATGCTTTCATTTCGGCCATAAGGCCCACAGGCTACCCACAACTAATACTCCTTATTTATTTTATTAATAGAAATATATATATATACATTTGTTCTCTATATTTATTAGATTTGATTAATTTAATTTAATTTAATTCTGAATAAAATTAGTTATATTTAATTCTATTGGTAATTTTATTATTATTATTATTGTAATATAACATAGCTAAGTATTGAAGAAATTGAACGATACAAGACAACCAATCGATTTAATAGCAACAGCTGTGTATCTCTCCAACATGTGTTGCTTGCACCGACATTTTCAACCACCAACGGTGTGTTTCCTTTCATTTTAAATTTTTATTTAAATACTACTCACTCCGTCCCATCCCATCTAATATGAGTGTATTACCGTAGACACGAGAATTTAGGTAAAATATAATTAGTAAGTAATTAAAAAGTGTATTAGTAAAAATAATTATTATTTAGTAAAAATAATTATAAATTAATATTAAGATAAGTAAATAGTTTAATTAAAATTAACAAAATTATAAAATTTAAAATTCAAAATACGATTAAAGTGTATAATTATATTTTCAAAAATATAAAGACAAGTTACGTGGGACGGACAAAAATAAAAAATAGGGACTGTTACGCACAAAAAAAAAAAAAAAATAATAATAATAATAATAATAAGGTATCCAGAGTCAGTCGGTGGGTTCTCAGTCGGTTGGTTCTCAATCAGATAAGCAAGTCAGATGGTCCGCGGTCGGGCAAGCAGGTCGGATTATCCGCAGTCGGATAAATGGGTCGGTTGATACAAAGGTTGGCTGCTATGGGGGTCGGTCGAAAAAGGAAGTCGGGCGAAGAAAGGTCTCTTGATAGGTCAGACGATTGAAGAGACCAAATAGTGGTCGTTTGATGGGGCGACCAGTGAGTCTTTTGATCTGGCGACCAATTATGTATCTAGATTGGTCGGTTGGTCGGTCGTTGGGTTATGCGGTTGGCGAGGCGGTTAAAGACATGTGTCAATGAAAGAGGCAGTTCTGAGTTCTGTAACTGGTGGGAACGGTTGGTGAAACCGTGCGACGGTTCTGAACGTTTTCTTCAAAGAATATTTAACGATTTGGATCATCATTTGGCAAGGCATCTTCAATCAACTTCAACAAAGCAAAGTCAGATTTGGGGATCACCACTTTAAATTTCAGTCTTTTATTTTCCAGTTTATTTTCTGTACCATACAGTGTTTAGAGATTCCTAATCTCAGGCACTAATTAATCAAGTTTAAGGATATTTTCTATATCTTTGAATTTTACTTTATTTTTGTTGAAAAATTACATCAACAGGGACAAATTATGTGGAACGGAAGGAGTAGTAGTTATTTAAGTTGGTATTTTATGAAATATAAATAATAATAATAAAAAAATCTAAAATATATATAATAACATTAAACACATTGTAAGTAGCAATGATATGTCAAGCCCTTGTAAATTAAACGTAGGGAAAAATTCAAATTCGATTGCGAGTGGTGAGTGTAAAAGATTATTTTCTCCATCCGGAAAATTAGCTTATTTTGGATATTAAATAATAAATATTTTATTAAAAATATAAAAAATGAAAAGAAAAATTAAATAAAGAAAAAAATGTAATAAAATAGTAACAATTACAACAAATAAATGTTGAATACTACTCCCTTTGTCCCAAATACCGTGTCTGCTACGGTATTCTAGCTAAAGGGGTGTAATTAGTAGATAATTAAGAATGTATTAGTGAAAATAATTATCCTATAATATAAATAATTATAAATTAAAATTAAGATAATTAATTAGTTTAATTAAAATTAAAAATAAAATAAAATTCAAAAATTCAAAATGAGATTAAAGTGTGTAATCATTTTTCAAAAAAAAAAAGAAAGTGACATAGTATGTGGGACGGACAGAAACGGCAACGTGGATATGTTACGTGCGATGGAGGGAGTATAAGATAATTGTTAAACGATGAATATTTAACTTTAACAAATTTAATAATATAATAAATTTAAGTGAGACAGAACTATTGAAAACACTCTTTTTGAATTAGTTAGTATGTGCCGAACTCATTGAAACCCAACAACAGCAAGTCCAAATATTTGAAAGTATTATATATTATATTATATTATATTATATTATATATCATATAAATACGAGTTTGTACGGATCTGCCACTTGAAAAGTCTATCCTGCCCCTCATTTCGAAAATGACAATTTAGTCCTTACCTATCTTTGTACTGGCTTGAAAAGACGAGATTGTACGGATCTGCCACTTGAAAAGTCTATCCAGTCCCTCATTTCGAAAATGACAATTTAGCCATTAATCTACCTTCTCTAATTCCTCCTTTATTGACACGTGCCTTGCACCGTCTCGCCAAACGCTTCCACCAGTTCCCAAACTCAACTTGCCCGACCGACCATTCCAGAGACCAATTGCTAGACCAGCCGACCTACTTTATCCGACCTGCTGACCATCAGACCTGTCTGTCCGACCTGCTGACCATCCGTCTGTCCGACCTGTTGACTTCCCGACCTAAGGACTTCCCGACGTGACCAATTTCCGTCTTGAGGACATCCCGACCCGACCACTTTCCGTCTTGAGGACCTCCCGACCTGAGGACTTCCCGTCCTGACCACTTTCTGTCTTGAGGACCTCAAGACCTGACCACTTTTCGTCTTGAGGACGTCCCGACCTGACCACTTTCCGTCTTGAGGAAATTCCGACCTGAGGACTTCCCGACCTGACCACTTTCCGTCTTGAGGACTTCCCGACCTAAAGACTTCCCGTCTTACCACTTTCTGTCTTGAGGACCTCCCGACCTGAGGACTTCCCGTCCTGACCACTTTCTGTCTTGAGGACTTCGCGACCTGACCACTTCCCGTCTTGAGGAACTCCCGACCTGAGGACTTCCGGACCTGACCACTTTCCGTCTTGAGGATTTCCCGACCTAAGGACTTCCCGTCCTGACCACTTTCCGTCTTGAGGACTTCCCGACCTAAGGACTTCCCGTCCTGACCACTTTCTGTCTTGAGGACTTCCCGACCTGACCACTTTCCGTCTTGAGGACGTCCCGACCTGACCACTTTCCTTCTTGAGGAAATCCCGACCTGAGAACTTCCCGACCTGACCACTTTCCGTCTTGAGGACTTCCCGACCTAAGGACTTCCCGTCCTGACCACTTTCTGTCTTGAGGACCTCCCGACCTGAGGACTTCCCGTCCTGACCACTTTCTGTCTTGAGGGCTTCCCGACCTGACCACTTCCCGTCTTGAGGAACTCCCGACCTGAGGACTTCCGGACCTGACCACTTTCCGTCTTGAGGACTTCCCGACCTAAGGACCTCCCGTCCTGTCCACTTTCTGTCTTGAGGACCTCCCGACCTGAGGACTTCCCGTCCTGACCACTTTCTGTCTTGAGGACTTCCCGACCTGACCACTTCCCGTCTTGAGGAACTCCCGACCTGAGGACTTCCGGACCTGACCACTTTCCGTCTTGAGGATTTCCCGACCTAAGGACTTCCCGTCCTGACCACTTTCTGTCTTGAGGACTTCCCGACCTGAGGATTTCCCGTCCAGACCACTTTCCCGAAAGTTTGTCAAAAATTTTATTATTAATTAATTATATTTTTTAAAAAAATATCAAATCAAATATACATAATTTTTTTATATTATAATTAAAAATAAATTTTATATTCAAAATATCAATAATATCTTTATTCAAATCACTGACTCAAAATAAAAGGCCCAAGCAAATCCACCCTGAATCTAACAGCCGCCGCAGCCCTAAAACAAACCTAAAAATAAAACCCTAAATCAACCGCCCGGCGCCGCCGCCCTAAAACAACCCTAAAGAAACAACACGCACAGCCCCAAAACCCTAAATCAACCGCCCACCGCCGCTCCTCTTCCACATCCTCTCTTATTAAATCTTTGTTCTACCTCTCTACTCATTCCTCCTCTCTTCTCTCCCTTCTTTTTTTTTTTTTTTTTTTTTTTATCCGTCTTCCTTTTCTCCGGTTTCGGCTTCGTCTTCATCGTCCCCTCCGACGTCGCCGTCGTCTTTGTCCGGCCGTCGTCTGCCATCCGCTTGCTGTAAGGTTCGACTTCTCCTCTCCTTCTTCCTCTTCTTCGGCGGTTGTGTCATTTTGTGAAACGTACAAATAGTTTATTTAATTTTTTCTTTTGGGCTTATCTGAGAACCCCTGGGATTTTGATGATTGTGTTCATCCGTAACTGGTGTGTTAGAATGAAGTGATGACTAATAAAGATGGATCGATAGCCCATATGATGGCTGTTTATCATGTATTAGCTCTACCTGATCATTCTTATCGCCCCTTTGTTACATTTGGATTTGGATTTTTTCATTGAACTTGAAGTATCTATCTTCTTTCTCTTGCGCCTGGTGGATTTTGAATCTTATTATGTCCGGCTAGGTGATATTTTATTTTTTATTTTTTTATTTTTTGTAATTGATTGTTTTGTAATTTCAGTTCTTCTACAAAATTTGTAGGACTTTGTATACGTATGTGTGTTATGTGTGTCTGGTGTTGGTACATTTACCGTAATCCAATGATGAGTGCAGATAAAATTGCAAGTGCCGTATGACAATTCGTTGAACCAACGAAGTGTTTGATTTGAACTTTCATGGATATCTGAGGATTTACGGTCGCTCTTAATGCCTATGCGATGTTATAATTGACTCTACAGCAGTTTAGGTGTAAAAATATTTGAACCTTCACCATTAACCATCCATTATATTTGAGTTATCGAGTACCAACGCTTTTTCGGATACACATTCAAATGTTCTCGGAGTTTTCCCAAATTTGAATTTTTTTTTGTTTTTTTTAATTTGATTTTATGGTGTCAATGAAAATCTTCTAATTTTGAAATCCATCTACAATTCATTTTCTTTTGTCAAAATTATTTTTCAAGTTTGCATCCGAGTTCAGCCTTTGATTACTACAAACATTTAATATAATACAAATACTCCCTCCGTCCCACCACAATTGACATTATTTCCATTTTTGTATGTCCCGTAACAATTGACACATTTTTTATTTTTGTAAAAATTATTAAATCTAAACATATTTAACAAATATAAATATATAAATCAACTTAACATATAACATCATAAATGAAGTAGGACTCACTCAAAACCCTTTTATTTCTATCTCCCTCCTCAAAAAAAATAAATATTTTTATCTATATTTAAAACTACATAAATTTATGTTAATTATAAATAAACAAAAATATTTTTTTATTTATGTATATTATAGAAAATTTTATTCTCTACAAAATAATATTCATATTACATATATTTTTAATTGCTATATAATTTTTAAATATTTAAACATATATTTTGATTTTTTTAAACATATATATTAAATTTACTTTCAAACTATAAATATTATTAATTATATAAAAAATAATATTAGAACTAATTATTATTACCTAATTAAACATCTTTATCTTAAATACCGTGTCCCTAATCAAATGATTCAATTTTGGTTGGATGGAGGGAGTACCAACACTAGCACACAACATACTTTTATACAGTATACTCCTTCCGTTTCGGAACTATAGTCTTGGTTGTGTTGGGCACGAGATTTAAGGAATATTGATATTATATTGATAGTGGGTAGAAAATATAGGTAAAAGACGTTTTTGCTCTTGTAAGTATATTAGTGTAAAAGATAATGACAAATGTTTAATAATAATGAAAGAGTAAGAATAGGTATATAGTGACATGGTTATTTATGGAAATAAAATTATTGTTTTGGGACGAACAAAAATAGTAAACAAGACTATTGTATTAGGACGGAGGGAGTACTAATTATGTTGTGTGTAATAAAAACGTATGTTGTTTGTAGGCCAAGGTCCAAAACATGGAAGGAATTAGATTAGGGTTTTTTTTGCCTTATGTTTTGGTTAAATTTATAATCGGATGTTTCTGTGTATATAATCTTCAATGCAACCAACTGTCTACACAATTAACAATGAGTACATTTTTGTTATAAAAAAAGAATGTGTAGAACTTTGACAATTTACATTTTGATCGACTTTGAAGGTGAAGCACCATGGTAGGATTTAAGAATAGATATATGGTGATGGAGGTTTTCCTGGATCCCAATAAAGATCTTTCGGCGGATGACCCAATTATAATCACTCAATTCAATTTATCGAAAGCCGTCAAAGATAGCATTCTCTCAAACTTTGGGGAATGTGGTCTAGCATCGTCGACAAACTCATTCCAAGGTGAGACTACTTCTTGGGGCCACTTATCCCTTTATCACTGTATGAATTCACTTGTCTGCAATGTGTTGTGTTTGATGCTGCGACTTTGATATCTGCAGTGAAGTATGTAAATCCACTTACAAAACTCTGTATATTCCGAACTTCAAGGGAGGATTACCAGAAAGTATGGGCAGCCGTTACCTTGGTTAGGACTATTGGAAACTGTCCTGTGGTGTTCAACCTTCTTGACCTCAGTGGTAAGCCAATGTCTCTATTCCATTTTATTCTAGTTCTTGGCTTCCAACCTTTTCGAAACTAAAAGTTTTCCGTATATGGGTGTTTAATTATATGGGCTACTCATAATATGCTACATTGATTTGATGGTTCTGATGTTGATCAGATAGGGTCTATGTTGATCAGATTTGTTTGTTTGAGGGTTTGGATTTGGATTTTTGAAATTGAAAATTTTGATTTGATATAAATAAGTGTTCGATATTATGTTTTGAATATAAAATTGATTTTTGGTATAATATAAAAAATGAAAAATAGGGGTTTGATTTGATGTATTTTTGAGAAGAAGATTATTTGAATAGTGAAAATCTCAAAAAATCCACAAAAGAACACAACCATAATGTTTTCAGCCACAAATTTTCAATTCATGTGAGGTTGATGCATTCTTCATGTGTTAGTTTTAGTGAGGTCAAAATTCCACGGCATGGCCATTGTTGTTTTTGTATTTGGGAAATTTATTGCCTCGATGTTTAGGAATTGCATAACAAGAAAAGTGAATCTGAGTTGTGTTTTTAAACTCCTAAGTTCCAGCTTTCTAATTTTACATGAAATGTGTTTCTTGGAATTCTCGGTGTTTGCGGGTTCTAGGGTTTATTGTTATTATTAATTTTCTGATCTTGGAAGTTTCTAAGCTTGCTGTGTCTTACGATATGATCCTATGCTTTTGTTTCGACAATTTTCTTATATGTTCATTCTTGCTGTTAGGAAGCATCAAGGCTTGCAAAACTGCTGCGTTGAAGTGTGATGAGATGAAATTCGAACAATATAAATTATCAGCCGCAGATCGCCTCCCTGCTGATGCCCACCAAAGAATGCAAAACTTTCTTGAGAAGATAAAACACTTGGAGCATTAAAACCAAATGGATCGAAGAATTTAAGCAGCCTCTGGTATGCAACATAAAACAATTTTCTTGATTCAATTCAACAATCCTCTTGCGTGTTCGAATAACGACAGGAATCTCCAATTACAGTTTTGTAGCATCTTCTCACACAGGAGCCGGGCTTTTGCCAAACAGATGGATATTTTGCGGATCAAACAGCGCAGAATCATACTGGTAAGTGCTCCGTTAGTCAAGATTAATTTCTTTAAATCCCTTGTCACTACGCTTACAAAAATGTCATCTTTCCAGGCACATGATACCCCAAATTGCCCCTCTCTTTGTTGTCTCCTCGGACAAAACACAAGATCCGAGTATTGCCTTAAATCCGTTAATGGAAGGCTTCTTCTCCATCGGACAAAAATCTTGTAGTGAGGCGATTTCGAAGAATTAAACACTAAATCGACCCCCAAAAATTTTGTTGTGTATTCGACTGCCAGTAAGGTTAATAGGCTTTGGTTGTTGGAATTTTGTTAACGTATCGACTCTTTTCGGGGTTGATCTGATTAGAGCATTAGCAGGCCATTGCATCGTACCAATTTGAATCTGAGTAGAGATATTATTGCAGGCAACAGCCAGACGAGTTCTGTCGAGCGAAACTTTGGTAATTCATATATGTATGTTTTAGTGGTTTTTGGAATAGAACAGATGTTTTAAGTGATTTATGATTGTTTAAGGATTCTTTTTTTATGTTTATATCTGTTCCATTTAAATTATTGCAAAGTGTTAATTTTTATTAGATTAAGTGGTGAATAAAATATTACTCTCCTGAAATACTTCATTTGGTTTATATATATATAATAAGGGAAAATAGTACTTTTCTTATAGTTTGACAAAAATAAACAATATTTCGAAACACAAAAATTATTGTGCTCAAGTATTTAAAAAAGGAGTGAGTAGTTGGATTTCCTGCGATGCACGTCGCGGCCAAAAGTTGCAAATGATCGTTCACGAATCTGTCGTTCAGCCGTATATTGTGAACGGGGATTCACACACGAGTGTCGGCGAACCTGCGAAAGGATCATTGTCGATGTCTGTCCCGGCAGACAACAGCGAATTCGTGACCCGACGTACGAATGCCCGACAGACAACAACGAATTCGTGACCCGACGTACGAATGCCGGTCAGGCCGTCCATCGAGACAGAGTGGGCGCCCTTAAAAACTCCTGCGCGGATTTTCGCGAATATGTAGGCAGCAAAATGGATTTCCTGCGATGCACGTGACGACCAAAAGTCGTGAACGACGACCTTGTCCGCCGTTCACGGATCCGTTGTCCGATCGTATATTGCGAACGAGGATTCGTGCACGGGCGCCGACGAACCCGCGTCAACGCGAGAAGACCAGTAAGCCTTATCGTTTAGAGAAAAGAGAACACATAACAAGGATGCTATAGGCGAATTTGCGAAAGGATCATTTTCGATGTCTGTCCCGGCAGACAACAGCGAATTCGTGACCCGACGAACGAATGCCGGTTAGGCCGTCCATCGAGACAGAGTGGGCGCCCCTAAAAACTCCTGCGTGGATTTTCGCGAATATGTAGGCAGCAAAAATGGATTTCCTGCGATGCACGTCGTGACCAAAGTCGCGAACGACGACCTTGTCCGCCGTTCAAGAACCCGTCGTCCGACCGTATATTGCGAACGAGGATTCGCGCACGGGCGCCGACGAACCCGCGCAATGCGAGAAGACCAGTAAGCCTTATCGTTTAGAGAAAAGAGAACACGTGTGTTGTTCAAGTTTTTATTTAAATAATATTTTTATGTGATATTTTATGAACGAGAGAAAATAGTGTAGTTTTATTAAATATGCCCTCCATCTCATGCATATATGTAAGTTTGTTTGGACGCAAAGACTAAGAAATAATGATACTTTAATATTAAAATGAGATAAATAAAAAATAAAATTAAGGATATTATGACATATTTATTAAAGAATAAAAAGATGAGGGAATATAAAAAATAGTGACAAATTGATTATTATTTGTTAAAATAAAAATATAAAAGAAAAAAAATAGTTTACTATAAATGGAATAAGCATCACTTTAATAGACAGAGAAAAAATAGTAATTACAAATTTTAGCGGATGTAGAGAGTACTTGATTATCAATTTCATTTTTTTTTATATTTTTTAATATTAATTTGAATTTATAAACTATCATATTCACTTATTTTAGTAGGCAATATCTGATATTATAATCAAGAAGTGGCATCATTCTCGAAAGCATCTTCATAAGCTCTTGCCTCCTACTTTTTTCGAGTTTGAGATTGCGTTTGCAAGGATTGAGCCAATTCAATGCTAGCATGATTTTATTTGGACTTCTTCCAAAAGACTTCATACTAGTGAAATTCATGTGAAACTTATAAATAATCCCCCCTCAAATCAAAGATCATATAACCTATGGCCTCTCCCCTCCAGTAATATTTCGTTGATTTGTCATCTTGCACCACCTTTATCAACATAGGGCCTCACTTCCTGACCACACATGTCGGTACCACCAACCGACCATCACAATGCAAGAAAGACTTTCGACACAAAGCATGTGACACCCCGGCTCTCAAGCCACGCAAATCCGGGGGTGTCGGGATTATAGACTGACCCCACAGGTCAACACGAGTCCTTCTAACGTATTTTTATCCCCGCTCACACGCCCCCTAGAAGAGGGGGTCACCCATCTTTAAATTATTCTAGGGAGAATTCTAAAATTCTATCACTAGGGCTCCCGAAAAAAAGATGTAAACATTGTTGACATGAATAGTCTATTCAATTCATTTAACCTATATTCAATCTTGAATGACTTAGCACCAACTCATCCACGGGAGTTGGCCTAGCAGACCCAACTTAGGCGGTATTACAAAGCACTACCGCAGATTCTAATCACGAGATCAACAAGGGCCTCCCACAACCACAACCAATGTCCGATACATCCAGTCCATTTCGCCAACGAACTCCTTCAAACCAGGCTCTAATATGAGTTGTTAGGATTGAACCAGTTCAACACTATTTGTTTTTGGATTTCATGTAAAAGACTTCATACCAGTGAAACTCATTTAATACTTAAAAGATACGAGTTCTTCTAATTTCTTTCTATACGAGACTTGGATTTGCACTACAACACACTTTGCATTCAATTTTCTTGTGAAACTCAAGATGATTTGTTCTCTTTTGAGTTTGAGAAAAAATATTATGATATGTTTAATATATATTGTATTTATGATAATTACATTATTTAAGAGACTTTTAATTTTATATTTCAACAATAACATCTTGTAGATGGTATATATATCATGTTTAAATTAGTTTATAGTAGCTTTTCTAATTTATTAATTATATATCCATGTATTATTCTAGTATGCCATTGCAATTCAATTTTATTATTGAAGATATAAAAGTAAAGACTAATTTTGGACATATATATTTTTTGAAATTGATCCGAAGAATAAATTTACTTTGGATGTATATATTTGAAATTGATATGAAGACGTGGTTTTTTTTTTAATAATAATTAATATTATTCAGGTTTCTAATAAAAATATGTCATTTTTTCAAAAAAAAAAAATATCAAATTAAAATATTAATTAAACAAAATTTAAAATAAACTATTATTCATGTTGCTAATAAAAATATGTCATTTTGTAAAATTTGATGATATTAATTTGATCTAATAAACTACCATTTTTCACTTATTTTCATAATATATGGTTGCCACATGATGATTTACGACCACAAAATCAAAATCAAAATACAATCATATACATATAGCAGTAAAAAAGAAAAAGAAATATAATAAATACATACATCTATATAATCAAAATTATAAGTATTTAAAGACATTGCAAAATGCTCTTGATTTACTTATTGAATATAATTTCCGCAAGTACCCAAAAAATTTTTTTTTTTCACATTCAATCTATAAGATATTATTAGACTATAATCTATCATCTATAAGATTTGGTAAAAAAACAAATGAACTGTGAGACATATATATTCAAAGAAGTGGTAAACTTTATTGATCATATGTGGGCAAATTAAACTTGTTCATTTATTTTATAGACAAGAACAAGACAAGAACAAGTATTCATGATTCATACATATGTTTGTTAATCAGAAGTGTGGTGATTTTCTTGAAATGATGTAGTTACCTATAAGAGCCGCTAGGCGTCTTGCATTTTCGTAATTAACTAGATCATATCTTTGCATATATTCACTAAAGCTCTTGGGTGCCGATTTATCATTTTCGTAATCAGTTTCACCACGGTTCAAGGTTCCTCTACCAATAGGAGGTGCATATCGAATATTGTCATCAAGAAGTGACTTATCATTTTTGTAAGGAGCTTCACCATGGTTTGAGGTTCTTTTGCGAGGAGGAATGGCGTCAAAAATTGATTTATCATTTTCAAAAGCATCTTCGCCACGGTTCAAGGTTCCTCTACCAATAGGAGGTGCATATCGAATATTGTCATCGAGAAGTGACTTATCATTATGAAAAGTATCTTCATAAGCTCTTTCTTTCTTACTTTCTTCGAGTTGCCGAGCTTCAATGACAATCGATGTTAGGCTCAATGCAACTAAGATAAATAAAATCTTACCAACAAATGAATTGTACCGGGAATTCATTCTTGTCATAAATCTAGTAACAAATTATGAGTGGTGTGTGCCGATTTCTAACATTTCAATCGCTATTTATAAGAAAAATTTATATTTTAGTTAAATAATTAAGGGGCTATCAACTTCCTAAATGAACAATAGTTATACAATATTGATAAGTCAGCATCTATGCATATATATTGTAGTATAAATAGCTGACTCTAAGCATATTGTAGATAACATGGTTTCAGTTCATAGTTATAGATCTACCAAATTATTAATTATATATCTATTTTAGTTTGGCGTTGGAATTAGATTTTATTATTAACAAATAAAGAATAATTTTGGATATATATTTTTTTTTCGATTAAATTGATCCGAAAAATAAAATTACTTTGGAAGCTATGGAAACTCCGAGACTTTTTGAATTATAGCGCAAGCTAGCGGCGTGTTGGCAAAAATAAAATTACTTTTGTCTAGTGGTGTTGGCAAAAATCGTCATTGTAACACTAATCTATTTTTTTTTGTTGGTTTCAACATTGACTTTACTATTCATCAATTTCCTCCCTAAAAAAATAATTTAATTTTTATTTTTTATACTGCACTAAAAGTTAAGGTTACATAAAAAAAAAATAAAAATAAAAATAAAAATCTCAGTAAATAAATTTTCAATCTAAAATTTTAATTTACTATTTGAAACCCTGAAAACAACTCCAAAACCTAAAAACAGACCACACCTCTAGTTTGCTTGTGAGGTAGTTTGATTATCACGAATGCATATATACTTATATATATATATATATATTGCATGTTTAACATATTATAAATTTTCAAATAATTCCAAATAAGTTGGTATGATTCAACTTATCTTGTACTTGACTAATTAACTTTTTAATTACTCGATCACTTTGGGAAAATTTCCAATCTTTCATATATATACTTGTCTTTTTATCATGTTTATTTTTAAAATTTGTGGTGTTGTATTTTGGCATTATGTATAATTCAGATATTACATTGTCATATTTTACGACCATAAGAGCTTAACCATATTAATCTATAAAATAGTAAATGGTAATATAGATAGAACCAACAATATATATAAAACTCAATA